TATATATATATATATATATACACAGCTACAAATAAAAGAACCTGTAACTAGACCTTAAGCCTACTATAAAACTTTTAAAGCCACTTGTATTGAATTTTGAATTTTATATAAGCCATCGAAAGTATGTTTTTTATATAAGTGTATAGTATACACTTTTTGTATTTGTGGTATATTGTAAAAACGCAGATATTGACAACAGCGTTTTGGGTGTCAACTCCAATTGGGAATTGTTAACGCCAAGGGGCTTCAGATTTTATCTTCCTGGAAGTATAGGACCTGCTTGGCTAGATGCTACTACCACAGCCCAAGTCAAGACTCAGTTCGTCAAATTGTGTGACAAAGAAGAGTTTATGGAACCATTGAACAATAAAAACAGATATCAAAAGGATGTAGAAAATTGGGAGGCTATACGGCCGACATTGAACTGTGTGGCTCAGGAGTGTCCTATTCTTCTACGAAAAAGTATAGAAGAACTATTTCCGGGATGCTTAGATGTAACTATGTCACATCTCACTATTATAACTATTAGTCAAAAAGCAAATCTTAAGTCAATGAGATGGCGTAAGGAAGCAGAAACGGAAAAACTCGCCAAATATGTAAGTTACATATTGTATGGCATGATAGTATGGCACTTGTTTCAAAGCTACATATGTAATATATATAAATATATATCGCTTCTTTAATTCAAAAGTGACACATGTAAAAAATTTTTGAATTATCACAAATGAGATAAATATCATCTCATCAATCATCAAATGTAAAAGTGAATATTATTTCATCAAAGATTATATGGAAAATATATTCTTTTTGCTGATATTATTTAATTGGTCGATAATTTTCTGTCAACTTCAAAAACACTTTTTGAAATAAGAAAACGATATCTCATAATTCTAAATATATCTACATACTCAGAGGAAAGATACATTTATACATTACAGTCTATTAGTTTGTTTTAGCAGCCTCCGACATATGTACAAAGCTCAAAATGGTCGGTTACTGGGCAGACTTTATTAATCCTTTCAGTGGACAACCCTACTTGAGTCCAAGGAAGGACGCCAATCTGTACGAAACCGATGAACGATTTCGCTGTGTAGGATTTAAAGTACAACAGAGGAATAACTGCAGAATTATTGTTTCTGATAGTAGTCTACAAAATTTTATTGGTATGTAAACGGCTATATATGTATATGCATGATTGATAACAATCTGCAATAATCAAGATACAAATCTGCTTATAGGAAAACATTTATCATATCTAACTTACATTGCAGACTTTTTCCTTCATTTCAGGAAGTCTTTATACTACAGCGCCGGCAAGCACAGAATTTTTAAAACAAATAATAAACGTTGCTAACGAGGATCAATAAATATGTGTATATACAATACATACACACACACACACACACACACACACACACACACACACACACACAAAGGGTTTAGTTTATTTATGTAATAAATAATTTTTTATCACTTTTAAAAGTGATAAAAAAGTCTCTTGCGCGCCTATACATATAACCAATTGAGATGCTCAATTAAAACTATTAATGAATCTGGCAAATTTGATTTCGTATCATGATAAATGTCTATTGGTATTACATTCAATAAAATGCGGACAATGTGTGTTTTATCTCTTTTAATGCCCGTAAACTATCTAATGTTTATTTAGCAAGGAAAAAAGCATAATGTTATTAAATAAATTATAAATTTTAGACATCTTATTTGGAGAATGAACCCTTTTTCGATAGTCATGAATAAAACATTTTTTTATTTAGATAATATCGGTACAAATTGACGAAATTGCTCATAAAACTATTTATTTCTATTACACATCGTTATTTTCCCTTTAAACTAATAAACATTAAACAAATTATAAAAATATATTGAATCTTGCGTATTCATCACAAATTACGACCGACACCTATCTTCTATAAATATCATATACAATCTCTCCCTCTTTCTCTCTTCATGTTAGAAAAATCAAATCAGAATTATGGACATAGTCCCGCAATAGACATTTTAGCGGCGTCACAACTCAAGTATAACTGTAAGTAAAAATATCTAAATAATCGTTAAATACGTTTTATGAATTTATGGAAAAATCTTTTGTTAAGTTGCCGAGCTCCGTTATTCATTAAACAATAATATTACAACATAAGAGCATTATATAATAAATATTATATAATAAACATTACAAATCCTAAAATCTTCATATATACAGCTAACAGCTTTGTTTCCTAATTCGAATGTATGTAAAACATGTTAAAAAATGACATATTTACGAATGTGCGTTTCGTAAGTAGATGCACTGAGAGAAAAACTTTTGGTTTCTATAACTTTATAACTATATATTAATATAATTATGATTATGACTATTGTAGTATTAGTAGTAACTATATTATACATGTATATTAGGATGGTCGTTATTTTAATAATTTTTGAAATTTGATCGGGACACTCCCTAAAGTTGCTCAATATCTCAACAAAATACCAAAATTTTTTCAGATTTTTTTAACAATATTAACTCGTGCTACTGGAGCACAGTAAGCGCAAAAGCACCTTTGTGGACAAAATTCGGCCGACATTCTAATTCTTAACCGATTTTAAAGTTTTTTTTTAATTTGCTGTAAGTTCATTCTACATAAATTTTGATTACGGTCCAAATTAAAAATGGCCGATTCAATATTAGTTATCGTATAATTTTAATTTTTTTTTTTGCTTATTTTATTGGATCGGCCATCTTTTATTTGGACTGTAATCAAAATATACGCAGAACGGGCTTTTAGCTCATTCAATTTCGAGCAAAATTATAAAAAAATATTTTTAATTGGTTAAGAATTAGAGCGTCGGTCGAATTTTGTGCACAAAGATGCTTTAATTTCCGCCTATTTTGTCCCGGAGGCACGGGTTAATATTGTTCAAAAAAATCTGAAAAAATTATGTTATTTTTTTTTGAAATATTGAACCACTTTAGGGAGTGTCCCGATCAAATTTCAAAAATTAAAATATCGACCGCCCTAATGTATAGTTCTATATCAATCAATCATAATCATAATTATAATAACATGTAATTATAGTTACAAATACCAAAAAGTTTTTCAATATGTGTCTTAATGACGAAAAACGTTAAGGACCAATTTAGATGAGATTTATAATCTCCATGTTTCTCAGAGAAATAACTGAAGAAAAATTAGAATATATAATAAAATAACATAACATAAAACATAAAAGTTTCTATCCTGAAAGCTGACGGTGAGCTTAAGAGCATGTCAAACCACAATTTACAATCTTAAAGTAATCAAGATAATGACTTAAAGATGATAGGTAACTTGGTACCACCAGCGGAACGAGCATTAATTCTTATATGTTTACGAAATCTTAACTGTTACAAGGAAAACTTATGTACATATGAGCTATAAACGAGTACTATACACACACAACATTTCGAGGTATTATTATATCAAAGTAAATTTTCGTACATTTCATATACAGATTGTACCAGGATGTTACTTAACATTACCTAATTTTATTTTTTGTTGTTTATATCATAAAGCGATTCAGAGAGAAACATATCTAAGAATAACTATAATGTAGTTAAAACCAGCTAATAATTATTGATGTATAAATCAATTGTACATACGTTTAACGTGCTCACATCTCTGTGTCAATAATATATTTCTACGGTTCTTTTTGGTAAAACACTTGTTCATTAATACGACGTGTAATCACATATAATATGAAAATAACTATTTAAATGAGGTGCTGACAATGTAAAGTTGTAAAATCGAAAAGAAATAGATTGCTCTTAATCGACCTCTAATTTTCGAAACGAACCGCATATTCCGCTTAATTCTTCGTTAACCTCTTGGTAATATTTCGGCGATATTTCAATATACATATCGTCGAGGGCCTTGAGTTCATCTTTTTTCTGTTTTAGCTTCTTCTTTAATTCGTCTAAAAGATAGATAGCATGTTAGGAAATAATATAATTTGAGTCTACTTGAAACTTGAAAGAATTGCGAGGAGAATCTTCGTACCGATCATTTCCGAAAGCGAGATTTCTCCGCCATATTCCTTCGGCAGTATCTTTGGATCCACTGCTTCTTTTAGGTCTTGTACGTTCCTATGTATCTGCAAAAATTGCAAATATGATTTGTAGGATGTGTAAATTTAAGCGCAGCCATATTTACCATACCGAATTTTACTATTTGGCGATATTTACCATGACGCGAGACTTAAGCTTGTCGTTTAGTATAGACATGCCGAATTCGATGATCTTCGCTATGCTGTTGGGTACATTGATTAAATGCGTCTCCTTGTGACGCATCGGTGTACTGTTCTGTATGCACCTCAATATATTACGAATGTCCATGAAAGACAACGTGCTGAAATGGCTCATGGACAATCCCGTCGCGTCACTGAGATATGTGTAGCCGTGGACTTGACTTTTCTCATCGTTCATCAAGGTCTCCACCACCATACTATGGACCCGGATCAAGTGTGTAGATGAGAATTTACTAGGGTCGAAACGCTCTTAAAAAAAAAACGGAAAAAATAAAGTAGAATGAATATCTAATTCTAAATATATGCTCGGAGATTAATTGCTTGAAACTATGAAGCAGAAATGTCGGGCTTAATATAATATAATATCAACCACGAATTAAGAATTTTATTTAAAAATTGGGTAACTTTCAATACAATGAATTAAATGCCAACAACTGGAGATGTATTCCACTTAATATTTTCAACACTCGCATGCATAATTTCCTTGTTTAATATTTGATAACAAGAAGGATGAAATAATGTTCGCGAGCGTTGCGAACTTTAAGTGGAACGCACCTTTGAAACGTGAAAATAAATGACTAGATCTATGTTTATATGAATGTGGAATACATAGATAAATGCTACTTGAGGACTGTGCTAAACGTAGAAAAAAGGTACGATTGTTTAATTTTGATTAAGATTAACAAAAGACATTTAATTTAATAAATTTAGGCTGGGTTGTTCCACCTTTTGATAAACTTCAGCTCATTCTCTAACTCTCTTATAATGCTCTTACTCTTTTACTCTTTAATCCATTAAATAAATTATCACATAGTTTCTCTGAAGCAACCAGCCCTTACTCTATCAAATATGTCATCATTTAGCTGCGTCTTAAATTAGTCTTTTGTATTCATGGGATCGGTACCTGCACATGACATTATTACTTTTCGGCCGTGCTGATCTCGCTTTAACATTGGTACTAAATAGCCGTTATCGATGATGGCCATAAGTTCCGGGTCATCAACGTCGAGATTTTGGAACCAATTGGGATAAAGTTGCCTGATAGTGAGATACCGTTCCAACATCTCTTGTGCCATTGGCAAACTGAATTTTTTCGTCCTAAGAAATCTTAGTAGGAACAACGAATCAGTTCTGCATTTTTTAATCGCAGGATGTTTCTCGATCCAATGACGAAATTGCTCCAGCGCTTGGTCTCTCGTGTTGTCATCCTCACGAAGCTCCAATCTAGCCGTTTCCAGCGTATCCACATCCAGCATACTCTTATATTCATCATATTTCTTTTGCTGTCCTTCTGATACCATCGTCTGAAAAATAATGCAAGCTTATATCCTATCTCGATGGATTTTATGTCTTGATTGAATATTGGCTGCATTTAACAGAAAAAGCAGTTTTACAACTGTTGTAAAATCCTTTAATATGATTGTTCATATATTTAGTTCTAGTAAGACGCACTAAAAGGGCAAGATTAATCAATTAAATTAAAGAATTTTACAATAGTTACAAAGCTATTTTTTTTGCTGATCGAATGCAGCTACTATCCTCCTTACCTCTGAAAACAGCAGTCGCATATTAATTTAAGAAAGTATATAAATCGATTATGTTAATTCATTTAAATATTTAAAGGAATAAATTATTTTAAAACGATAATATTCGAAAATTTATTTTTAAAAATTACTAAATAAATTTGTTTTTTTGAATTTTAGAAAAGGTCTTATCTAAGCTGGATCTTAACGTTTTAAATAATATTTCAGCGTGAATTTACTTATGTACACATCCAGTTTTACAACTGCGCTTCAAAGTCACTTTCGGTTTTTAAACACAATCTTAAACCGAACTGAGATAATTATATCATAAATTAAATTCTTAGGTCATTTTTAAAATCGATATTTTTTTTAGTTAAAATCCATTTCTTTTTGTTTTATAAAAATAAAATAAAAATACAAATTTAAAAAATGGCTCAAGAGACTGTGCGAATGGTGTTAAAAATATTCGTGTGAATTTTCATTCAAAAATATCAAAATATGATTGAACTATCGTTCAAACCTTGATAAAATAGTACGTCTTGAGAAAAATGTACGTTTAAAGTTATGATAAATATTTTTTTAGGTTTATAGTAAAAATTTAAAAACATTAATTTTAATCTTTTTAATTTTAAGTAATATTTGTGCTATAAATGTACCTTGACCCTTTTTAAGACTATAGATTAATAAGACTGATAGATTTTTAAGACTATAGGGGAGAATGGAGTAACGCGGCGCAGTGGGCAATATGGCGCATTGTTATTGTAGCAATTTGCATTGGCCGACACTACGAAAATTAATGTTATTTGATGCAATTATGTTTAACTATGTATACGAAATTTCAGAACAAGTCATTATGTTTTTTAATTTTTATCGTCTAAATTTAGTATGATATACTTTTATTGTCAGATTTGCACTTCAAATACATTCATGTAATTTCGTTTCTTCAAAATCAATTCATAACATTAAGATATTATTTGGAAAGCTGAATTTTTAATCTTTTAAGCCCTATACTTTTTCATATTTAAACAATTTGAGTTGTTCAACAAAAAGTGTACGAAAATCCATCAGGTGAGGCTAAGTTTTTTGCACATGTGCACAATTTTTTGCTTGCGATAAAAAGGCCTATTGAAATGGCTGTGAAGCGCGGAGGTGTTGATTCTTGATCACTTGAATACCTATGCTGATATAAAAGTAAGTATTGCACTTTTGTTTTAAAAAACGTAGTTATTCTCTTACAAATCTGTCATATTTTATCGTCAGATATTCACGTTCAGGAAATAAAAACAAAACAGTATTTTGAAAGATTATATTTTGAGGTTAGATCGATGATTTTTGCTTTACAAGCTTTAACAAGCTTTATGTGATTATTTGTTCTTAAAATAAGTTTTTTAAATAATATTCTTTATGTACATATATTGTTACAGATGTGACTTTATAGCCGTACGACGACAAAGGGCAGTTGGAGTTCTGATAAATTGAAATCTGTCCTCGTAGCAGTTTCTGAAGGAACGCATATCAGGAAAAGTGCCAAAATGTTTGGAATCCCAGAAAGTACATTGCGAAGAAGAATGAAAGCAAATAATGTATCTAAAACAGTGCTGGGCAGAAGGTGCTACTTTTCTGTCGAACAAGAAAGACATATCGCAGAGCGCATTTTAAAGATGTGTAATATTTTTTACGGAGTTACACCTGAACAATGTAGAAAAATGGCATTCGAACTAGCAGAAAAAAGCAACATCAAGAATCAATTCAATAAAAATGAGAGGATTGCTGGCAAAGCGTGGTTAGAAGGTTTTTTGAAACGTAATCCATCTGTTACCTCAAGAAAGTCTGAAGCATTAAGTATAAATAGAATATGAGGCTTCAATAAAGTCGAAGTATTGAGATTCTACACAAATCTGCAGCAACTTATGGATACTTATCACTTCCCAGCGAGTAGAATATTTAATATGGATGAAACTGGAATTTCAACGGTTCAGGTAACATAATTTTAATGACAAATATGTATAACATTATAAACAAAATGAATTACGTTTTCAAATAAATTATTAATATGAATTTTGGCAATTTTTGCTGTATTTTGTTATTCAAAGAATTTTCTCTTGTAAAGGACTTTTATTTTATTTATATGTATGTGGTATTTAAATTGTGTGTGTGTGTGTGTGTGTGCGCGCGCGTGCGCGCGCGCGCGCGCGTGTGATTACGTATTATTTATCATATCTAAAAATATTTATTGTTAAAGGAAACTGACAGAGTTTTGGCTCCGGGGGCAAAATGTGTTGCTTCTATCACATCAGGAGAAAGAGGGAGAACTACAACGGTTATTTGTGCAATGAGCGCAAGTGGAATCTATATGTATACCGCCTATGTTCATTTTTTGTGGACAAAGAATTTCCTACGTATATGGAAGACATGCACCTGAAGGATCTATAATAAAATGCACTCGAAATGGCTGGACTAATGAAGAGATGTTTATGATTTGGCTACAACATTTCGCTCATTGT